AGGCTACACACACTGGAAGGGCCAAGTGCTGAACTCAGGTGAGCTCCAGGAGCTGTACGAAGGCCTGAAGCTGAACGGCGTGAACAAGTATGACTACGTGCTCACAGGTGAGGCTCCGCGGGAGGGTGCAGTGCCCGTGGGCCTCGCCCCTGGCCCCTGCCCCCTTCAAGGAGGGCTGACACATACCGCCAAGAGCTCTGTGACACCCTAGCGACCGCCATGTTCTGGTAGCATGATCTTGGGGGTCCTGGCCACGCTGTGCCTGCCTGGATGACGACTGCCCTGGCCACACCAAGTCACACTTCTGGGGCCACACTGGGGTTCCAGTGCCCAAGGGGTCGGGGGTGAAAATGCCCAGGTGAGCAGCACACTGCCACCTGGTATGTTGGTCTCAGACACCCACACTGGGGGGGGAGGCGGGGAGGGAGTACTTGTTTGTGTTCATATTCATGGTTAAAAGTGAATGTGCTTGTTACTGAAACGGGGAGGACGGAAGGAAAGCATCTCACGTGCACCTGTCACCCATGGTCTCTTCCTTTCATCTAAGACTTAACGTTTCTGTCGGGATGCGCCCCCCGCCCCCGACCAGTTACTGGGGCCACGTCCTTCTCACCCTGGCTGCCGGACCTGAGAACGGTGTGGGGTGGGATGGTTTCAATGGCGCTTCTTTCTCCTTTTGCCAAGGCTGGTCGAGCCTTCTGTTTTATGAGGGTGGCCTGGTCTCCCGCCCACAGGTTACACGAGGGACAAGTCCTTCCTGGCCATGGTGGTGGATATCGTGCGGGAGCTGAAGCAGCAGAACTCGCGGCTGGTGTACGGTAGGCGCTGGGCGTCACCGACGGGAGTGGGGTCGACCCCTGGCCCGGGGGGTGCTTAGCCTCCTTCCTCTGGGCACCCCTCCTGCTCCCCCAGCCCGTGAGCGCTGGCTGTGCGGGGCCTCCGGGAAAGGGAGTCGTCAGACCTCGGGCGTGGGCTAGAAACGCCTTCACCGCGAACCTGGCATCTGTGTGGGGCGTGTGAGAGAAACAGGTTTATCACTGTGACCTGCATCAGCGTGTGAAGGCGGGACTGCCGGGCACTGCGCTTGGGGTGTGTGTGATGGCCCTGACTCTGGCGGGTGGACGCCCCGGGGCGGCCTGGACGACGAAATGCCAAACGCCAGATAACAGACAAAAAAGAATGGGAGGCCGTGCTTTTCCCAAGGTTTTGTGGGCAGTGAAGTTTAGTGTCAAAAGTAGTGTTAAGTGCTCTTTTCTCATCAGCTGCAGCTTTTGCTAATAAGATTCGCTTTGTCCCTCCACAGTTTGCGACCCAGTGATGGGTGACAAGTGGAACGGTGAAGGCTCTATGGTGAGTCGTTCCGTGCGTGTTTAAGTGCCGCTAATCCTGTCAGTGCTCTGCCTGGGCGGACGCTGACCCCGGGGGAGGCAGGGCCTCCTTCAGGGAGAAACATGGCAGGCAGGCGAGGCTCTCCATGAAGGGCCAGAGAGTCGATATCTTAGGGCCACATGTCCCCGTTGTAGCCAAAAGCAGTCCGAAAATTTGCAAGAGAATGGACATGGCTGTTTTCTGATAAAAGTTCATGTATGGACACATTTTGAATTTCCTCTCCTTTCCATGTGTCACAAAGTGTCATTCTTCTTTTGACTTCTTCCCGCAGCCATTACAAAATGTTACACCCCGCAACCCTTACAAAATGTTACAATCAGTGAAGCCCTGCCCTCCACAACTAGACTGAAGAACAAAAGGACAGCAGTTTGTCTGTTCCCCTTCCCCAGTTCCCCAATAAAATCTTTAAAAAAAAAAAATGTTACAGTCGCTCCCAGCCCACAGCCTTCCACAGCAGCTTAGGGACCCTGCGTGGGACACAGCGGAGGCAGAGCGCCACTGCTGACATCAGCCCGGGGCCTCCGTGGAAACCGAGGGTGTGAGAGGGGTAGGGGCCCACCTGGCACTCCCCCAGGTGCCCTTGGAGCCGTGGGGTCACCACGCACTGCCCGCAGTGTCGGGTGCCAGTCTCACAGAGGGGCCCCCCAACTTGGAATGCTCCCAGTTTCTTCTCTGGGTACGTCACCCATGTCCCTGTCTCCTTTTCTTCAGTACGTCCCAGAGGACCTCCTTCCTGTTTACAAAGAGAAGGTTGTGCCGGTTGCAGACATTATAACTCCCAACCAGTTTGAGGCTGAGTAAGTAATTTGAACCGGCTAAAGCTTGCAGACCACCCCCCACCCCCCCACCCCGGGGAGAGCCACAGAGACTGTGCAGGGAGCGTCCCCACATCCTCAGGGATTATATTCAGCTCCCTGAATGTCCTGCCTCGGGGAAGGAGACACCTGGCACCCTCCCTGAGTCAGGTGGCTGCCTGCACCCCTGCGAGCCCGGTTGACAAGGCGCCCTGGGCCCACCTGGCTTAGCTGCCAGGAGCAGCGGTGGGTCGCTGTTTCACCCCAAGCCCCTGCTGGTGATCGTGCTGACCCCTGACTGTTTTCCTGAATGGCAGCAGCCTTGGGGCCAGAAAGGGGGAAGAGGTGCTGTGGCACGTGGCTGACACACGCCACGGCCCCGCTGCCCGGTACCGGGCTTCCAAGGGCCTTTCTTAGACTGCATGGCGCCACCTGATGGCTTGGAGAACCAGGTGCCAAGGGTGTGAGGGGCGTTTCCTGATGCTGTGGGGTGGGTGTGCAGCTGAACGCTCAGGTGGGTTCGTCTCTGTCACTGTTTGGCTCTGCTGGACCATCAGCTGGGTCCCCTCTGTTTTCAAGGCTGCTTTTTAAAGTCTGGGTGGGGGCACCTGGACTCTTGGGGCTCGGGGTTCCCCGACCCGGGCCTGTCCATCCTGGGGATGACGACTCACCTCGAGGACCTTAATCTTTGGTGGGCTCGTGAATGTGGCACGCGGGCCATCTGCAGCTCACTCCCGTGGACGTGGTCCGCCCTGGCTGGCCGCGTGCTGCCGCCCTCAGTGTTGTTATGTGTACACGTTAGCCACAGTCGGGGACCTCAGCACACCCGTGATGTGTGAGACTCCCCATTTAAAACTAAAGGTTACTCTTGGCTGGTCCCAGACATGTCACAGTGGCCACCTGCTCCATGATGGCCCGTGACAGCCAGCAGACTCTGAGATCATACCTTGTGGGAATTGGGGTGCGGGGTACCAGTGCTGCTGCAGCTTTGGGAATGTTCCAGGCAGGACCTAGGAAGCGACGTCTCAACCTGTGCCTACCTGTCTTCCAGGTTACTGAGTGGCAGAAAGATCCACAGCCAGGAAGAAGCACTAGCGGTAAGAGGACCTTCCAGGGCCTGGCGTGGGACAGGCAGCACCGCCCATGGTGGGGAGGGGACAGCTGCACGTCCGGGGGAATGGGAGACATGCACCCCAAGTGGCCAGCATGCCAGCTCCCAGTCAGCCAGCCTGCAGGGTCGGGGGACGGGTTGTAAGTTTCATTCTGCCACTTGGTTGGTCCCCTGCAGCTTCAGGCCTGTCAGGTCTGGGTTAATCCACTGTCTGCCCTGCCCAGACAGCAGTCTTTGTCTGAGCTAACTGGAGTGGCCACAGCAAAATTCCATGGTAGGGAACGGGGTGCGGGGCCCTCCTCCAGCTCTGAGGGCCTTGCGCCAAACTGGCTCAGCACCCTGGGGCCTCCAAGCCCCTGCTGTGTTGCCGAGGACATGGCAGTAGGTGTTAGTTGAATGAATAAATGAGCGGCTTCTCAGAGTGGACGAGAGGTGGGAGCCATGTTGTTTGGGTGTTGCTGTGTGCGGACCCCAGGTGGGGAAGGACAGCGGGCCCAGCCTGGCTGGCACCTTTGTGTAGGCAGACACCAGTAGGGTGCAGGAGGGAGCCAGCAGGCGCACACCCTCAGACTTCAAGCCCAAGGAATGGCACGATGGCTGTAACCTGGCAAAGCTGTCACCGCACAGGCATTAGACGGGCACGGGCCACTCAGGGCGGGTTCCCAAATTCTCTGCCTCTCTCGTCTCCGAGCCCATCAAGCCAAAGCCATCAAGCCAAACCCTGTGAGAGCACATTTCAGGTGCGAGGGGGCAGGGGTGGCCGAGGCGTGGCTGACAGGCTCCCTGTGTCCTGGCAGGTGATGGACGTGCTGCACTCGATGGGCCCTGACACCGTGGTCATCACCAGCTCCGACCTGCCCTCNAAAACAAAAAGATATTTACATTACGATTCATAACAGTAGCAAAATTACAGTTATAGAGTAGCAACGAAAATCATTTTATAGTTGGGGGTCACCACAACATGAGGAACTGTATTAAGGGGTCGCGGCATTAGGAAGGTTGAGAACCACCACTGTGGAGGCTTCTGGGTGGAGGGAGGACAGATGCACCGGAAGGAGGGGGCTGAGAGAGGACAGGCCGGGCTCAGAAAGGTGCCCACTTGCTCGGCCCAGCTGGTCTGGGACCAGCCGGTCGGAGAGCTTGAGAACTAGGGCCTGTGACTCGGGTGGGGCCGGTCCCTTTGCCACTGTCTTCTCAGTGCTGAGGAAACAGATGGCATTCTAACAGGTGACTTGAGGAGTACTTAGTAAGGGGCCGTTGACAAGCGTGTGGAAAGGGACGGGGTGGTCAGCTCCACGTGGGGACACGGAGGGAAGAGGGGCCAATACCAGCCTGGTGTGAGGGCTACCTGGCGGGCCAGTTACCGGAACCCAGAAAAGTGCTGCTGAAGGGACGGCACCGACAGGACCCCCAAGGGGGCCCCTGCAGCGAGCAGCGGGGGCACAGAGCGCATGGCTGTACCCAGGGCGGGCAGAGGGAAGGCTGGGCCAGGGGGCGGATGGAAAAGCTCCGGCCCAGCGTTTGTCCCTCAAACCTTCTGCCAAGGGGCCCCCCAAGCTGGCTCTGGTTTACTGTGCTGTGCTGAGTTTTTCTTGAGGTCAGGTTCACATGACACACATATAACTATCTCCACGTGCACAGCTCAGTGGCATTTAGTGCTGTCACAATGTTGTGCAACCGCCACCCCTCATCACCCCAGGAAGACAGGCCACGCCCATCAAGCCGTCACTGTCTCCACTGGTGGTGATAGCTGCCTCTGTGGGGGCTCCCCTGGTCTGCAGGGCACTGGCTGGTGGTCCTGCTTAGCACCCAAAATGCCATCCCCCCCCCACCTGTCACTGGAAGTTTCCAGGGGAAACCCCATTAGGTCATCACTTCAGTGCAAAATTGCTTGACTGTTTGCCAAGACCAAGAGCACGGCATGAAGGTGTTTTATTCTTCAGCGCGTGCAGAGTAGGCTGTACACAGCTCATTCACGCAGTTCTCTTCCTGCCACTTTCAAGCCTCTGTGTGCCCACCAGGCACCCTTCCTAGCTCTTCGTTACCTCACGACCTGGGTAGCGCAACCCTGGCACACACTGCAGAGGCCAAGGGAGCTCAGAATCGTCAGACCCATGTAAACCCTCAGAAACACATTTTCTGCCTTGATCCTGAGCCACACAGAACTCGCACCAGGCATCACTCTTACGACGTCGGGGACTCTTTTTAATAAATTCTATTATATTTCCAACCAACCAATCAACCACTGGACTGGCTTCATGCGTGGGCAGCACCCTCTGTTGAAACCAAAAGAATTATTAAACCAGACGTGCCCTTGCCTGGTTTTAAGCACATGCAGCTCCGTGGGGAGCTGACAGCCCTCCGGGCCAATGGCACTCAGGGTAGACGCACGCTGGTCTGCACTAACACCTTTGTCACCGGCAATGTCACTGCCTCTGTGTGCCTCTCTGAGAGCATCAAGTATGTGCCTGAGTGCAGCTAACGTTCTAGGATCGGGTTTACTCAGATCCATTCACCGGGTGGTGGGGGGGGGACCAGGCCCTGGATACAAGACGCAGAGTCAAGGCAACAGTGTGCCGACCTGTAGTTGGACAGACTCCTGGAATCCTGGGTCTGCCACCCACGTCCTGTGACCTTGGGCAACCTCGCTGGGCTCTGCTCCTCAGGGGGAAGGGGTCTCCGGCTGGCTCTGGCCTGGGCGTGGCCGTGAAAGTTTATAAACACATCTGGATACTTGATATTGTGATTATGGTTTCAGATGAAGAAAAAAAAATCCACAACAAAGGAGGAAATTTGCAAAGACCTAAAAATATATGTATTTAGAGATACTATAAGCCCTCTTTAAAAGCAATTTAGTTAAACCATTGATTGGGAGGAAAATCCACACCACAAAAGCCAGGAACAGAGACACAAGGCAAGTGCGTGACGTCCCCTGTACTCCAAGTGGCACAGCGTAACGATGACGTTCGTGTATGGTCCCAGATGTGAGTACAGCGGATAGAGAACCACGGGGACGATGGGCTGGGCTCAAAATCAGGAACTAGAAATACGTCAGCGCGTCATTCTTGGTCTTGTCGGCCTGATAGTCATGCAAGGTCAAGGGTTTGTTTTCATGCGGTAGACTTTTAAACACTCGAAGGTGTACAAAGTCGTCATTATCAACTTGAACCTGCAAAGAGAGTGTCAAGTGAGGGGCAGGCGCGGCCTGGGACCCAAGTCCCCCTGCCCGCCTGGCAGTGTGAGGGGTCCAGGGTGCGTGGAAGCCACGTCCCTCCAGAACATCAGCAACCATGCTGATGACATTTCCGTGTCCCTCCTTCGAGTGTAGCAGATGACCATTACCCACGCCAGCACCCTTGGTACCCCACATTTGCTCCATCAGAGCCCTCAGTTGCCCCAAAGGCTTCATCCTGTCCTCCACGGAGGACGGCGCATGTGCACACTCACTTTGGAGGGCCACAAGCCCCCTGAAGCTGGGGGCTGCCACAGGACCCCCTTGGAGCACCCATCTTGGCACCTACAAGCCCCCGCCACCCACGTCTGCACGAGCACCCATTTCAGGGCAGACCCTCCCGCACGGCAAACACCCCACCTTGATGAAGTAGTTGGTCCCCGCGACCACCTGGCTCTTGAACTCCACAGCCTTGAACAGGGGGTACTTCTTGTTTGCCTTGTCCTCCAGCTGGGACTTCACCTGGGGGCGGGGACAGAGCGAGACACTCAGTGGCTTCCTTCCTGCGCAGTAACTGACGTTTGAGCTTCTATCTCACAGTGAACGTTACAAGCAATTCTGACGTCCACCATTCAGAGATTTTCTGTTCCATGACTGTTCTTTGTGACCGAGGAAGCCTGTTAAATTGTTTGCTCTCATGAGAAAGGACATCAAGCAAGTCCTTAATTCTACCAAAGCTAAGATTTCAGTATACTACTTGCCTTTTCTTTCCTAGGTGTGGGAAATTTTTCTATTTTTGTCTTTATGACACTATAGGCAAGGTTATCCCCTGCTCTTCTCTTCACTTAACAAGCAAACAGTTCATTTGAAAGACTGTGTGTCGTTTTTAAATTAACTAAAGCATTTAAAAATGTTAAACTAAATTTAAGTTTAGATTTAATCTTCTGTCTTGTGGACGTGCCTTCATTTTCTTACCTGTCCCTTCCTGGGCCCTGAGACCCTTGGGAACACCTAAGTTTTCCTGCACCGTATCAGGCACCAGATCCAGTGCTTCACAGGTCAGAAGCCCTTTCTTGCATTTTTTAAAATTTTTTATCAGTTTCAGGTGTACAAAACAATGTCACAGTTAGGCGTTTACACCCACCCCTCACAGTGATAACCCCTCCCCCAATCTACTACCCCTCTTGTCGTCCGTAGCCGTTACAATTCCATGGACTCTTCCTGAGGTTGCATTTTTAGGTGATGTCCTGAGGATGTCCTGCCTTTGCACAGAGACTGGTCCTGACCGTCAGACAGGGTTTGGGCCTGAGGAACTGAGCATCTTCGTGGAGGAAGGGGCACGCACCTTTGTCTTTTTTTTTTTTTCTTTGTTTAAAATCTAATCTCATTCCAAGGCCTCGGGCTGCTGTCCAGATTAACTGGTAGGCCCTGGCGACACTGACTCTGTGGAGTGACTAGACCAGTCCTAGAGGGTTAGAGGCTTTAGTTAAAGCAGCTGAGGGAAGCAGGCTGGGTGTTGGAAGCAGAGAGGGATCAGTGTTATTACTCACAAGTGAGTCATCAGCCACTGAACAAAGGCTGTGTGGCCTCTGGCACCTTTGGGAAGGGCCCCTTCCTGGCATAAGAATGGAGAGGAGGCTGGAGTCTGAGCAGCCAAGGACAG